AAGTAAGCTTAATGTAGGCAGTTTGAAAATGACAACTCATATAGTTGTCCATCTTTCTTGAAGATCTACAATGTCTTAGAGGAATGATAAAACATCAATGATCTTCATATAGACATGATTTTGGATAAAGACTATAAGAACAGTTTCTCTTCTACTTAATGCAGTACTTGCCACCATGCATATTTGCAGAAGCTCCTTCATGTATGGAAAAACAAAAAAAACTTGACATACTGCACAAGGGATGGATATAAACAATAAAATACACCTAGACCATATAAACATACATAAAGGAACATAAGATATTGAGAAAATTAAATGACATTACATAAGTGAGGTCTACAATAGCCTATTAATCAGCAAAAATAAAAATAAAACTTATATGTTACCACTATTTCCCTGTAATAAGAGGTAGCAGAAAAAATCTTTCAGAGGAAAAAGGAATTAGACAATATAAAGAAAAATTCCACTTGGAAAGCAAGTAGGAACAAGCTGTAGATGCCTGATCCGTATAGAAGGATTAAAATGTTGCACTACCTCATGCCAGCACTTGAGCATCTCACACGCTAATCTCCTTTTTACAGCAAGTGTAGCCCTGGGACTCCCCATTGCCATCCTTAGTTGAAGATCGATACTCTATACCAATCACGAGAATGGAGAAGAAAACCAAATTAGACAAAGACAAAGTAAAAGACTAGCTCATGTACATAAGTACAGGTGCTTCCAAGGTGCATACTAATTCTAATGCAAATTCAACCAATTCAGATACTGGTATGCATATATAATGACTTTATAAGAGAGCCAGAATCAGAACTAGCGATGCTTATGATTTTAGAAGAACATAGTATCACATAGATCATGGAATTTCTGTCTTACACGAGTTCATATTTTATAATGTTTATCATTGATTCCTAGCCAACATCAACATATGATAAAAATAGATAAATTGTCATTGTGAATACAGAAAAGATATGAAACATGTTTTATCAGCACTATTATCAGAATTTGTGTCCAAATCACATTCAAATTATTCAATTCAACATTGAGAACTTATTAAAACAGCATGTATGGAAAGATCATCTCTACTCAAGAATAAAAATGTAGCTCAGATTGTTCAAAATTAAAACAATAGGTACAACCAGAAAAGGAAACATTGACAGTAGAATAAAGTTATTTTATCCCACAGAATCAGTTTATGCATTATAACTAAAAGAGAATAAGTACCTGACCCATTGCTTGCATGCGAAGAGATTGGAGTACTCCTTCAGCAAGGTCAACAGGAAGATCTTTCCTACAAATAGTTATGGCAGAAAATTCAGGACATGTCAATCTCAAAAAAAAGAAAACCAATCAAGTATCTTCAAGAGAGAACATGATATATATCAAGTAAATAAACAAAAATAATCTTTATGGATAAAATCTCATGAGATGTTAACCTAAGATCAGGAGGAAGTCTAGGAAATACATGCTGAATAGCACAATCGAGATAACCTGCTGCCTTCAATAATATATCAATAGAGTTCCTCCTGCTGTCTGTAAAAGAAATGCAAAACTGAAGTATGTTTTTATAAATAGATTCATATATCTTCCATAAAGAAGTAAATTTTCACATCATGAAATAATTATGTGAGGTAAAATTATTAAAATGTGATGGTGCTTTATTTTTTCCTTAAATCAAGATATTAGTACCCACCTTCCGATACGTTTAGCTGACGTCCATCACTAAAAATTTTTGGAAGAAGCAATGAGTTGGCCTCAGAGAGACACGGCATGGCCATCAAGTGCAGAACTGAAAGCACCTCATACCAAGCATTTGCCATTTTCGTTTCCTGCAACAGAATCAGCCATCAGGTCTGCTTCTTCTCACCCTAGGATGAGTATTTGATAGGGAGTGCAACTAACACATGACACTACCTCTTCATTATCCTCCTGGTTAGCCCATACAAACTGCACTTTATCTGTTAGTTGACTTCCTGTAAATTGTAGTTCATACAACTGTCAAGAGTTGAAAACACATTGAATAAATATAACTTGAATCTACAAATCATTTTCATAAAACAAATGAACCGGATTACCATCTTTTACCAATCCCAGTAGGACAGGTAAGTAGTCTTCCAGAGCCTGCAGCAGATCAGCCAAACTCGAACCTCCTGCATTAAAGAGAACTATTATGTGTCAGATTAGCCAAACCAGACGAAGGTCCATCAGATCTGAATAAGCTGACCATGTTGCGTGGCTGTTTTCCTCCTAGGCTTCGTCACAGTTGGTGCCTCTTGAGCAGCCATGACTACTATTCTGGTTCTCAGGGCTGAGAGGCGTTCGACTAAACTCCTCGGCAATATGTCACCCAGTGACTGAAAGAAGTCCACATCCTTAGGGACTCGCAGGCCTGGCACAAACACTGCCACCTCTCCAACGTTCCCTGGCCTTCTCCTGTTTCCAGCTGCATCTTTTGGTCTCGAAGACAGGCATCCCATGTTCCGGAACTTACTTCTGCCAGAATGCAAAATGGACTAACTCTGAGTGCCCAACAGTCATCAAACAATAAATCGAACCTCATAAGGCAACAAGGAAATAATACACCAATCACTCATAAGACAACAAGGAAGCTAATGGAGGAAGGAAAGTGCGCCCCTCAATCATCAATAACGCGACAAAATGGTGAAATAAAGCTAAAAGATCTCCCACACAACACATGAGATGACTACACTTCCATGCTTGCAGACGAAAGGCATCCACCAGGGAGAACTGAAACGTGGCATAACAATCTTGAGGTCAACCAAACGCGGCACGGATTAAATAAACGCCGACGACCAAAGTTATAGGTGACTCACGGGGATTACGTAAGGAGTGGATAGTCCAGAAAACTCGCAGTCGGGCCAATTCCACAAGTCCATCAACGCTAACGCAATCAATCGACTGTTCTAGTCACTTTTTCTCGGCCAACCAGACGCTCAATTGACACGTCTCTTGTTCTCTGCGCTGCAGATTCGCACGGCAGAAGGACACCAAACAAACAAACAAGGGAAGAGAAAAGGGGGCACTAAAAGCAGAACCGAAAAGGAGATTCCTTTTAACTCCACCCATCCAAAAAGCTTTCACTTGAAGAAATCAGAAACGAACTTGAAAGCGAAGCAGATCAGACTCTTGGGAGAAGGTCGAGTAAAGGATTTCCAAACAAGCAATTCAAGCATGCGAGTGAAGAGTAAATTAAAAGAAATCGCCGGTAGAATTGCATTTCCCGCTGAACTTGGGAAATTTTGCAACTTAGAAATAATTCGAGCTAGCACGAATCGACAGCAAGCCACTAACTTAAGCTTTCAGCGAGAGAGACGATTCGAGAAAGAGTGTGGGACGAAGAGAGGTCACCTGGCAGCCACGGGATTCAGATCTCATCGCACACTTCCTCCACTGTGAAAGAAGAAACGTTCGCCTCCAGATCCACCAGGTGGGCAAACCCTAGGTTCACGGGAATTAGAGAATTTCCCTCGACAAAAGTAGATTCCCGGCCTTGTTTATCAGAGAGGGAAGAAGCCCTAGAATACGGCGACAATCTGGCCGGCAGAGGGGAGGAGAGGACAGGAGTAGGGCGGAGTGGAGCGGAAAAGAGAAGAGGAATGTCGAGAGCCTTCGCTTGGACCCGCTCTGCTGCACATCAGACGAGAGATGGATCGATCATGTTACTTCATCATGCTTATTAATCTAAACGATGTTCAACCTGGGCGGTATATATATATATATATATATATATTTCTTTTATCAATTTGACGAAACTGCCCCTTCGCCCTCCATCGCCAACACCGTCGTCGCCTCCACCCCACCGTGGAGATGGTGTCGCTCGTTGCCTCCTTCCCCTCCTCCCTTCCCCGTCCACCTTCATGAGGCGGTGTCACCCATGGGCAACGACAGCGGTGACGATGGTCGGGTGCGACGGTGATGGTCGGGACGACCAATGGAGGATGATAGGATATTTTGAGGCGCCCCAAGGTAAAAAAATCAACTAGAATTTTTTGATCAGAATTATTGAAAAAAAAAACTGCTTAGTCTGATAATTTCTCACAAAATATTTGAACTTTTAAAAAAATTTAAATAGACCGCTTACCATTGAAAGGACTATAGCATTGTAATTTTAAAAATCTGATTATTTTTCGAATAAAGGAGGATACCCAATAGATCAATCTACGAGCGGAGACACAAAAGATCAGGGAAAGAATACGATTGGTGGTGAGATCAGCTTATGCACAAAGATATATATAACTAAGAGAAAGGAGGAGGAGACCAACGAGGTTTGCTTATACACGTAGAAGAAAACGATCGATGAAGTCAATCCATGTGCGAAGGTACATGTTACCGAAGGAGGGGAGAGTGATCAACTAATAGGATCAATCTGTGTGCGAAAGTGTAAGCAATCATAAAAGGGGAGAAGGGTGATCAACAGTACTAGCCCATGCACGAACAGTAAGTGACCAAGAAAATGTGATTACTAGAACAAAAGGAGAACAAAACATAATGATAGGGTAGGATAATTATTTTTAAAAAATATTATTTAATTTTTTTTAAAAGTTATGCCGTTTGTCCACGAAAAAAAATTAAACTTCTATTTTTTTTTTGTTAGAATTCACCCAACTTTTTAAAGTGAAATATCCATTCAATTCTTTATTATGATTCAAGAATCACGCTTGTAAGATTCCGTTTCCACTGGAATCCGTTTCTATATTTCTACTTTATAAAATTATACGGAATCCGCCCTACTTTTTTGGGCACTGTCTGACCTTAAAAAGGAAACCTACTCTCTCTCTCTCCTCGACCTAAGCATCCTAAGCCCTACTTCTGGAACCGAGTTGGAGTCCTGTCCTCGACCTAAGCATCCTAAGCCCTACTTCTGGAACCGAGTTGGAGTCCTCGACTAAGCATCCTAAGCCCTCTGGAACCGAGTTGGAGTCCTGTCCTCGACCTAAGCATCCTAAGCCCTACTTCTGGAACCGAGTTGGAGTCCTGCCTGCAGTACTCTGATTATAACGACGATGCCGGAGCAACGTACAACCATATGTTCTCTAGTCTCTCTTGATCCTACCCATGGAACCTGCTTTAGCAATGGCATCGGCGGTGAAAAGTAAGCGCACGAGTCGAGGCCGGCAAAAAATCCGCATTAAGAAGATCGAGAACCCCGAGCGTCGCGCCGTGACCTTCAGCAAGCGCCGTAAGGGCCTCTTCGTCATGGCCGCGGAGCTCTGCGCCCACACCGGCGCCCACGCCGCCGTCATCGTCTTCTCCCCTTCCGGCCGACCCTACGCCTACTCCTATCCCTCCGTCGACGAGGTCCTTCGCCGCTTCCTCGTCGGCCAGTTCCGGGACCGTGCAGGTCTGGGCGGGATGCAGGAGTTGGTGCAGATGCGTGCGCTCCTGCTCGGGGAGGGCGATGAGCGCGCCGCGGAGCCCCACCGCGGGGCGGTGCTGGAGGAGCTGCAGCGCGGGGTGGAGGAGTTGGAGAAGCTGCGGAGGCTCGTGCTGGCGAAGGCCGACGTGGTTGGATGACATTGGTACCGTGGACGACATCCCCGTTTGGGCTCGAGTGAAGGCAGAGAAAGGTACTCTTGCTGGGAGTGGGGTTGCTGGTTTCAATGCAGGAAGCCACAGTTTTGGTACCCCTCCTGTCACTTGATTCTTTGGTTTTATTTCTTTGGATGCTTCAATTATTTTTTTTTCTCAATTATTGGAAGAGAGAGATCTGTAAATTTCACACATGAAGTTTGACTTCATGCGTTGTTCAATACTAGCATACTAGGACTGGAACCAATCAAAATATTTCTTCCAAAGACTCTTTAGCTGGACGATATATAGAGGAGAAACAATAGTTACCCTTTTTAACTGGTAAATTGCTACATATGTACAGATAGTTCGTTCAAAATTTTATAGCATCAAAGAATATATTGTTTAACAAGCTGTGCCTGACAATGCACTGCAACGTATAATCCACATTTGACATGCAACACTAATAGGATCAGCATAACCAGCAAGTTGCATTTACCAGACATCTTATGACATCATGCCAAAAAAAAGAATGGAGGACAGTTGAGAACATGTAACCAACCAGCCATTCTGACTATAAGCGTGCCGCTTCACTACCATCAGCATCTTCGGTTTCGGATGCTAGCTTGACAATGTCTTGAACAAGAATCTTCCCATCTGTTGCAAAAGCAGATTGCGGAAGTTAGCAAATAATATGGGTTTATCGATAAGCTGCAAAAGCAGTAATAAAGAAACAGAACCTTTATCCCTGGAGAGATTGCTGATGAGTTCTTGGACACCCTCCTTTCCAATGGTGTCTTTCAGATACATGGCAGCGGCTGCTACCTCTTCTGGAGTCACTTTGCCATCATGGTCTCTGCATACAGATTGAAATTCATAATTATTTCAGTACGGACGCAAGGTGTCATCTAACTTAGATTAAGTTTCAAATGCATCCGAATTAAATTTAGATATCCACATTGAGAGATATAGTCTTTTTTTTAAATTAATTTAAGTGTTATTTTCGTCCTACTTTACTAGTGTCATAGAACATCCAGATACAATGTACTATGGAGCAATTTTAACATAGGAAAGATTCTTATTGCCTAGGAAAGAGCATGACCCAAACTTAGCATAATTTAATTTGCATTTTCACACAGAAAATTGGAAAAAAATATATATGTCCTATAATAACACTCAAGATCTAGTTAGCTAGTAACCTTAATATCATAATTTGACCCAGAAACATCCTCCAAACCAAATAAACAACTGGCCGTTCTGGACAAGCTATCAGGAGGTAATTTCTTCCCTACTCTTACATGCCTAGAGTGCCAATTTAAGATAAATTCAATGTCCTGTAGAAAAGCATTCATTTGAAAATTTTTACGAGAATGATAATAATTTACATGAATTTGTGCATTTATTAGGCCACTGGCATATCACCCTTTACCCTCCTGGTCTCTCTCTATCTTCCTCTTTGTATTCTATTTCTATAATCTTTCTTGCACCAGAATCATAGTTAAGCAGCAAGACTACTGTGTGAAAACCAAATAGGTTTTAACTTGTTTAAATTGACTAAAACCCCACATTGAGCATATACTTTCCGGCATATGCATCATATCTTAACCCAGAAATCATATATCGAACAAAGGTCTTACTTTCTATATACTAAAACATGCACCACATCACAGTCTCTTCCGTGAGAGTAATGAGACACTATTCATGCAGATATTGCACTGATGTACAGGTGTTTTAATTTCCTATGCTGATATCTTCCGTGAAATAACATTATCAACAAAAATTGTTTAGTTGTTATCTTTGCCAAAGTGGAAATCCAAAAATGTCATGCCAGATTGATATATCATGTACATAAAAGAGCAGCACTTATCGGCAGCATCAGCCAATAATAAGACTGTGTGTATTAGGCTAGATGATTCTAAATGTGGGTCAAGCTGAAGTCTATCTGCATCTAGGGGACCGAAATGCATATTCAGTTCCAACCGATCCATTCTCTCTACAGGATCAGCCAATCATATTTTCTTTTCTTGTGTGCGTGTGTGTTTACTTCTGTCTCTTATCTTCTAATTTGGATGGTTTCAATGGGTGGCTCGCCGAACCTATCTGCATCTCTAGGAACAAATGAAAATCCACTTTAGACCAAAATCCGATGAAATTGTTGAAAAAGATAAGGGAAGGGCAAAAGTGAAACCAATTGATCTAATCGAAGTAATAAGAAAGTATATCCCATGGTCAAAGCCATGTCTTATCAGTAATTGTACCAAAAGAAGGAAAATATATACAGATTGCTAAAATTCTGCAAGGCATCAAACCAAGCAACAATGCTTCTTACCAAGAGAACTATAGTATTTATAATACAAGGAACAAATCAATTTAGCAATTTCCCAATTATAAATGCGACTATTAGCAGGTGAAATAAACAAAGAACCCCCTGTTATAACATAAAGAAATATGGAAGGCATTAAATGTAGTAATGTCTTTTCAGCTAAGGAACATCAGTTCTAAATATATGATTTATATGGATGGTAACCTTAACTGTAGATGAGCGGATTATTAATGAAACAATTAGTTTAAACCTCAACTTTTCATAGCAACATACAAAAAATTACTGCATGAATATGCAACATTTATTGAACAGAACTTTTCTTGCATGATACTACACAATTTGTCGCAATATAGTTTATTGTGAAAGATCTTAGAGGAAGGTTTCACGATAATACATCTAAAAACAGGGATACCAATTAACGAATGGGATAAGTGCATAGATAAAGCTAACTATGCCAACAGAAAACAGTGGCCAAAAAAGGTGAGATTTAGACTCAAAATAAGAGGGACAAGAAGTCTTAGATCAAATCCAGAGCACATTATGAGGAAAAAAGAGCACCTGTCTAGTATTTTCCAACGATCACCAATTTTAGCATCTACATCATCGATCTCCTTTTCAAGTTCTTGTAACATGGCATCAACCTAAACGGAACAAACAAGGATAAACATTAACAAATATCAATAAATATACAGCCTACACGACCATCCAAGAAGTACAAGTGTATGCTATCCAAGAATTGCAAACAAACAAAGTACACCTGAAGTGCCAAAATATCATTGTTAGAACAGATCGAATACAACTTAAAGCATATTTGAAAATATATTAAACAAATACAATAATGTCAAGGTACAGGCATCATGTGTGCACTTATTTGTCCAGCACAACTTTTCATACAAGTTCAGCAGTAAACACAAACTTGTTCCTCCATTACAGTAGTGCAAGATCTGATTCTTTTTTATGAAGTATCTATCATGGAAACCATTGAAACTGTCTGTCAAAGACATCAGTGATAATGAACACATCTTTATTTCACAGTACATCAGCTATAGGAAATCTTGATATGGTTCTAAAGCTAAATACCAAACTTAAATATAATCCAGTTTAGTGCTACACTAGACCAAAATAACCCAATTCTAACTAAGCAGTAAAGCCAATTACAGGTTAAAGTGGTCCAATCTTAAAAGGATCAGTTAGATAAACTAACACCACAATGCTCGAGGAAACATTTAGATACCAATGTTTAGACATAAAAAGGAATATAAAATGTTAAATACAATGCTATACAAACAATTAAACTAAGTCTCCAAAAATCAAAATAATATAAAAGCTGAAATACTTTTTACTTCAATTTTGCAACTATACCTAACACCACAGATGAATTCAGAATCTCAGGATAAAGAAAGCAGTCAAATGAGTTAAACTTATAAGCAGAAAGTTATTTCTTACCCTATCTACTAGTGCTGATGAGACCTTGTCTGCAGCAGCTACTTCAGCTGCTTGATCACTCTTCTCCCTAGCGGCTCTATATGCTTTCTTTGCCTCTTCTTCACCATCAGTACCTTCCTTCTCCAGCATGGTATTATAAAGTTCAATCTACAGTTAACATATAGCCAATTTCAGGTCACATACAAAGCCGCAAATATTCCAGAATAATAGCATTTGTGAAGACATTACCTCTTTATTAACAAGGCTCAGGAATTCTTGACGTTCCCTACTCACTGACTGCACGTTAAATGAACATTCATCATTAATTCAGGAAGCGATTGGCAGAAATACTGATGTATTTAATTAGCCAAATACTAAAAAGTAAAATGAACTGAAAGCAACAGGCTTACAGAAGCTGAAGCTAGCACAGCCAGCGCCCGACTGATTTTACAGAGTTGCTCCTGTTTTTCAAGTGTTTTTCCACTTGCTAACTCCTGTGCTTCCCTGGCTGTAGGACCAGTCATCTCCTTCAATGCTAGATCCTCCTCGATGACCTCAGATTCCTTCACCTTAGCTTTCTCCTCTTTCACTAGCTTTTTCTCTTCCTCCTACAGATTTTTAGCATAGAAAATCAGTATCAGTCAAAACCCTATTAAATCAGTTCAGAATGTTTATAAGTCATGGTCAAAACATACTCATCAATGCACATAATATATAGTTTTATTAAGTTATTCCCAGGAATAGAAGCAAATCTGAAAGGCACATCAGCTTAAGTTGATCTCAAGACATCAGATGGCTCAGCAGCATCCAAAATAAAAGGACAAAAAGTAGACCAGGATTTGAAAATGTTAAATTTCTTTACACAGCAGACAAAAAGCAAAAGAACAACTTCCAAGTTGTAGAATACTTAGTACCTTGATAAGTTCTTCCTGCATTTCGAGGAACTCCAATTTTCTTCTTCTCTCAGAAACAGAATCTTCAGATGGCAAACCAGTACCAACTGTGTCAACCACCTCATCTGGTAGAGATGATAATGTTGCTACAACAGCTTCTTCAGGTTTCACCTTTCCAGATACAGTGAAGGCTCTGAAAAACATTACCAAATTAGAGAAGGATGCACAAATAATCCAACAAATATAGCTACATAAAACTTATTACCTCGAGAGTATCAACAATGAAGATGGAACAGCACGATTAAGGGACAGATCCAGCCAGTCACGAAGCTGAAAACAAAGATTACTATAAACAACAATAACTTCATAATTCACTACAGGTAATAACAATATAGCTTAGGAAGGTTAAAAAAATAGTGGAGAGAAAATATCAGATTTCTAATAGAAAAAGAACAGCTCAGTTCTCTTCCTAAGATTTTCAGAGTCCAAGATCTACAAATAAGATCCCAGCAAGCATAAAACAAGACAACCATGGCTATTTTTATATTATATTAATCTATAGTTGTAATCGTGGGTTTTGACAAAAAAGTAGCACACATTTTGATATAATAGTGTAGTTCTCTTGCTAAATTTTATAATAAGATTCAGCTGGGAAAGAATTGTTGATTATCACAATGAGGTACTCCTATGGTAGAACTTAATCTATAACATAATTGAGGTTGTAGATTGCAGATAGAAAATAGTTAATGTTACTGATGAACATAAATTAGTTTAGACTCTACCTCAAAAAGACAGAGCCATGAAAATCAATGTAGATAAACATAAAAACATTAACAAGATAGATAATCCATAATATAATATAATGAGTTAGAGCATTAAAGAGGAGAAACAATAAGATGAAGAAGTATGGCAACACAACAAAATTAAATGCTAACTAGTTACTAGACCTACTACTATTGCCTCATGGGCTGCTGCTTAAGTTCTAATAAACATCTTCTTACATTTAATTTTCAACTGTTTATATTGCCAGGAAGCATGGAGAGTAACAGTAACTAAAAGAAACTTTAAGTCATAAAACCTGTTGTTGCATCTCCTCCTTCGAAAGCAACCCAAGATGACCCCGTTCCCGACAAGCTTGCCGTAGTTCCTCTTCAGAAAGAGATTCCACACCCTCTGCTTGGATCAGCTTGTCATCTTCCTTAATCCTTTAAAAAACAGGACAACATCATCAAAACCCACAAGAAAACTAGCAACAAATCTACATGTACCATTCACAATTGTAAGGATGAAACCATGGTATACAATTTCGAATGGTACCGCCCGGTACGGGCGATATGTACCGGTCCGACAGCATACCGGTACGCGGATCGTCCGTTACCGGACGGATCGTGCTACAGTACTACCATAAGAGGAAATCGCTCGGTAACCCTTGGTGTATCGTTCGGTACACCCTGATGTACCACTCGGTATGCTGGTATCATACCATACCAAGCCAACCTCAAAACACCAATACGATACGGTATTGTATACCTTGGATGAAACAACAGACAAAGGAAAAAAAATCACAAATTATAGCACTCATCATTGAAAACTAAACCCTTTCTCACTGTAGTATATACTATATACTATATACTATATAGGCAGTATGACATAAAATTGAAGCTCCTAATTAGTATACTGATGTCTCAAAGAACCATCATTTGAATTTCGAACTACTATATTTAGAAGCTACCACCACAAAGCAACATTTGTGAGCACTTCACCATACACTCATCATTTGGCATTTGGCTTTGTTCTTGAGTGCTATCCAAAGCCTTCTTAAATTAAATATTGAAGTTTTACTGTCATTATCCATCAAAACTGCAACACTCAGAAGCTGCCACCATGGAACAACATTTATAAGATTTTACCAAACCCATCACTTGTTGTTGCCAATATTTTTTACTATAGCGACAGAACTGATGTATTAAAGACGTGAAGTTGGAGCTCAAAAGCATCATTATTCATTCTTTACATTCTCACAACAGTGTTCAATAGGCAGAAATAGAAGCTTAAAAGCATCATGCATCATTTACAAGCTTAGAACCATGGTATGCAAAACCGAATGGTACCGCCCGGTATGGGCGGTACGTACCGGTCTGATGGCATACCGATACGTATACCGCCTGGTACTGGACGGAACGTGCTACAGTACTACAGTATTATACTGTAGCAGTGTTGCAGTGCTACAGTAGGAAAAGAAAATATATAAAACTATTCGGTATACCCTGATGTACCGCTCGGTACGCCGGTACCGTACCATACCAAGCCAACCTCGAAACACCGGTACGATACGGTATTGCATACCTTGTTTAGAACACATTTCACTTGCCATTGAGATGTTACAATTCCTCTCACTTTGTTTGACAGTGTCATCAATATGCCTAGATGCACGTGAGACTCAGTCCAGTAGTGGCTTTACACTATGACGTATCCTCTAGCCTTATTCACATGGTGTTCTTTCTTACTTAAACCACTTCTCATGCCCAATACTCCATCAGCTCTGATACCATTTTATATCTCGCCCTATACCCATCAAGCTCTTTTCAACCCAACTTAAGTGCTCTCCCACTAATGATGGGGGGCTAAACTGACTAAGGGTTAAACTTAAGTCTACCAATATTATAGCAACATAACACAAGTTAGAAAGCTGTAATATTGAAAAGGCTACTGCAGAGAGAAAATCACTCTGAAAGCAGAATGAGACTTACTCCTGCAATTTCCTTCGAAGCATAAATCGCAAGTAATTATCAGTTCCAAATGGTGGAATTCCCATATACTTGCACATATTGATCAGCCTCGGTCTGCAGGAAGCAAACAATATTAGAAATTCGATCAATTATCAACAAGATTGTATATTCACAAGTTAACTATATGATGTTGACCTGCTTATATTGTCCAATGTCAGCTCATCATTAAACAATTTCGCAAAGCTCAAGATTTCAACATTGGATACAGGAGCACCAGTCCTGACCTTATTGCAAAACCAACATCTCAGGACCTAATTGTAGGCAGAAGCAATAGACATATACTCTCCAATGTTCATCGAAGAAGGCAATGTACCTTATTCAAAAATTCATCCAAGTCCTCTGCAGTCTGTCTAATTTCTCCACTATGTGATGTTTGGACTTCTTTTGCCATCTCTTTAACTGTGTCCTGCAGAAACTTTGCATACTCTATTCTTGCTTTGAGTTTCCTTTTCAGTGCCTCCTACAAGTCGGAAGAGGAAAATCCAAAGTAAGAGTCCTAGAAAAGAAAATAATGGCCAAAGTAATTTATATTTCATTAAGAAATGTCTGGAAGACAAGGAGTTCTAAAAAGAGAAAGTTACACAAATCAAAAAAGCTAGGATACTGAGAATAGAAAAGAGAAATACATAAGAAATTTAGAACCCATATTCCATTGTCTGGGGAATTGTAGGAACCAGAATATTGCAAGACTGAATTGGACAAGTGTCTATGTTTGAAGGAACAGTATTACTACCAAATATCATATAATGCTCTTGGATTAGATGATAAAACAACTATATAATTCCACTATATGGCAAATAGTGGGAGAAGATTGGGATGTGATAAGAGATGAGAAGAGGATAGCCAGAACCAATATCAGCATCTTCAGCATAACTGAAAACCTTTAATTGGTTTAGCTTCTTGGAATGGTGACCAAACTTCTAATTGTTTTGCCAGGAAGAAGAACTAGAAGAAGTTAAAAAGATATTCTTTGTTTGAAAAGGGGATAAGGCCCTGGAACTTGATGATTTTGAAATTCAGATTCTACACCAAGTGCTGGAGAAGAATATAGTGAAACTTAACTTGCAGAAGTGACAAACGGCATGCAAGTGGAATTTAACCTTGGGCAGGCAAAATTATGCTTAAATTACTGTTATTCTAAAAAAAGGCAATGATTAGGTTAAAGACCCTAGGCTGATTATCAACTCTGCAGTAATCAAAATTATAAACAAAATTTTAGCAAATAGGTTGAAGCTTATCCTTAACAACTCAATTTATTGTTCTCATCTGCTTTTGTTAAGGGGTGTTGTGTCATCGGCAACATCCCCACAACTCATAAAATTAACTTGATTTTCTGCAAATAGGTAGAAGGCTTCCTAATAAGATCAAAGCCTTTTGTAAAATGGTGCAGGTAGATTCGGTAGATTCAGTTTCCTTTTTCATGCAGATCTGCTATAATACCAATAAGTTTAACAGGATAACGGATCAGTTTTCACAGAAATATTAGGTAGAGTGAACCTTCATCAGCCCATCTTTTCATCCTAGTCCAAATGTTTTGCATAGACCAAAAGCCTTTAAGTCTGATTTAATCAAGAAGATTGACATATAAGGAGATTTTTCTTATGGCAAGAATGTCTTGGTGATAGAAAGAAAAGAAAGATTAACTGGTCAACCGTATGCAAAGGCAAAGATGGAGGATTGTAGTTGCAAATCTTAAGGACAAAATCTAGATCTACTAGGTATGCAATGGATGAAATTACTATAAGAGGAAAAAAATGGATGGTTCAACTTGGCTTGAAACTCTGATTATCCCATATCTCATCCACTGCATTACAATTCTTTCATCTTGTCTCCACTTACAGGAGAGCCTTTTTTTTTTCCCATGTCAAAGATGCTTCTTGGCAAGCATCAAATTTCAATTAGTAAATAGTGTTTTCAATTTTTTATTAGACACTCTGATCACTGGATTATATATCTGATTTTCTCTTCTGAATGACAATTTATTCGCCTTAGCATCAGAACCAGATCAGTTTACCTCCGAAGACTCTACTGCTTTTTCTGACAGTGTTCTACAAATTAGCAAAATTCATTTGGTCTGCAGCAGTCCCACCTAAAGGTTCAACTGAAAACCAATATTCAATTTGTAGCATGACAGAAAATATATGCATGTACTCAACTTAAAATGAAACATCAAGTTATTATGACACGCCAGGATGCATTTTATAGAAAGCTCAATTTCATGATCAAAATCTTGTTAGCACAAGAAAGAATCAAGTAACTGACATAATTATACAGACTCAATGGTGAGCATACCTGTTCTTTCATCTTGTCCTGGAACGTAGATGGCAACATGTTTGGAAACAGCTTCAGGAACACTGGCAACAAGAACTCCATAAATGGAACAATGATGAAAACTGCAAAGGGAACCAGCCTGAAAATATCGGCTGTGGTACGTGTCAGCTGCTGTCTTTCTCTTCTTGTGAGACTCTTTCCAGCAGCCAACTTCAACAACAATCTTGAAGAGATCCTCATATCAGCCCATAACAATTTCAAGCCTAACCAATAATGCTGCATGGTAGATACAAATTCATCCTTCCAGTGGCGTAATTTAATAGCCCAATCCGCTCTTACATGCAGAAGAGATAACAGAAAAATAAAGTCAACCAATAGTCACTGCAAAGAAAGGATACAACAATTTAAAATAGCTAATACCTGCTCATTGAAGCCACGGCTCTCAGAGCAGGACCAATACCCAGAAGATTTGCCCAAAACTTGTGTATGAATGACTGAGCAGATTTTTGAGAATCTTGCATCTGTTTGGCTTTTGCTTTTGCTTTTGCAGTGCTTAAACCTTCCACAGCCTGATCGCATTCCTCAGGAGATGCCTCTTTAAACTCTTTTTGGCCCTGATCTTTGCGAGGCTCTTCCTCATTATGCTTCTCAGGTCGACCAGCTGTATCTGTAGACGCGGTGGCAACAGACTGTGCCAAACCTCTGACTGCAAATGGAAGAACAAACTCTTGCCTTCCATATCCAAATCCTGAATTGTAAATTATACTGGATGGACGCCGAAAAGAACCCTGAGCACTGAAGAAGATTAAGTCCTCTTTGGTGGTTACCGCCACATGCTTTTTCTGCCCACTACTCTCAACTTCACTGCAGCTCTGCTCAGAGATCCAAGTTGGAACCCTCGTGTCTGTATCAGATGCATATCTTCCGTGCCCCAAACTCGAGAAACTGGAACAAGAACGCACAGGTAAGCTTAGGTGTTTCAGGACGTACTTCCTTCCTTTGACAATTGCCTGAGACGCCATAATTGGTATCCTTTTCTCCTTCCAAAGTGAAAAGCTTTGATCATATCTTTCCGGGAACCCCCTGAATCAAACATTTATGTTCAAATAAATTATTATTATAACAAAAACTCGTTAAATATGTCATGATCGTTAAAGGGACAAGATCCTTAATCCTATATCTTGCCGTTATATCAATAAAACGATTATATGGAACCTCTTTCTTCCGTGCAGCTAAGAGAGATACATCGAGGCATAAGGACATGCATCCAACCATGTATATCGAATTGTAGAAATATGAGGGGTAAAAATCAATCAAATCTTAAGCTACACAACCATTTGCAAGGAGAGCTACCAAAGCAACAGGATCAGTTTAACAAAAACCTTCCGGGATCACGTAATCTCATCAACAAATAGAAATGCGATTATTTATATGCTCGATTATAGGGTTTTTTGGAGCATCAATTCTTGGTCCACGAATCCAAAACGGGGAATACCAATAGGAAAGCAGAAAAGGTAGCGAAAATATCACCGGAAAAGCTCGGAAATCTACACCCGCCTCTGCTTCGACGAGTCTTCGCGATCAAAAATCGAATTCGCCAAAAGGAGAAAGACCGATTAGAATCTAGCTTGGAATGTTCTCAATCGAGCCATCCACAAATCGGGAACCAAGGGATGAGGGGTTAGGGTTTCAATGAGCGAAGCAAGAGGATACCAAGAAATGCGACGCAGGCACGGACCGAAACGTTGGTATATAGATGGTGACACAAAGGGGGAGGACGAGAGGGCAGAGTGAAGCTTGGGAACCAAGACAGTATAGAAGCGGACGGATTTGACCATCGTTTGCTAGTCGTCCGATGGCGATATCACGATGCAATCACACCGTCGGTCGTGAATTAAACGGTTCAGATGCGCTACAGTTCGGCTCACCCGGTCCATTTTGGGTTCGAGGTTTCAAACCCCGGTTGTTGTCACGGGTGCGGTGGCCACGGCCAGCCATATAATCGTTCGTGACGTAAGTTATTACGTTGAGACTCGAAATGTCGAATTTGTCCACATTGGGTCGAGCCCAACCGAGCCGACGCGCAAATGATGGCGAATCGAATCGAATCGGTTTAAATTTGCCTGCCCATAATTACTACAGTAAATAAGTTTAGGTCATTTTTGGGGATAGCTTCACTGCGTTCGGACAGAGAAGTCTGCAACTGCACCTTATGTAAATTTATATCCAGAGATGTCAATTGTTATGAGACTGAATGGGTAGACTATTTTTCACCGCACATTTTTGTTCGTATTATATTATACATAATTTATTATTAAGAATAAGGTATGTAGTACCAAATGGTACCGAGTGGTATGTATCGGTCCGACGACATACTGGTGTACGGATCGTCCGGTATCGTTACAGTGCTATACCGTAGCAGTGCTACAATATAAAAAAAGTTATAAAATAATTTATTACACCAGGATGTACCGCTCGGTACACCGGTACCGTATCATACCGAGCCAACCTCAGAAACATCGGTATGGTACCACATTATATACCTTGATTAAGAATATAAATAAAAAATATATCTTTAAAAATTGAATCCAAAACTATAATTCTAATACTTTAATATTAGCCATTAAAATTTTTATTTTATTTTTAATATATATTTTTTAAATATAAAAATAAAAAAATGGTAAAAAAATAGATAGCATATTCTATCAAAAGTTCAAAACTAGTTATGGGACGGAACGTCTCGTATGAACTTTAATTTGAATGAAAAATATTTTAAATGTTATTCTTTTAACAATATTAATTTCTTTATTATTCTTTTTTATGTAATTAACAAATATTTAATAGCATGATCGAAACGTTACACGTCCTTTGAAGAGGATCAAGATGATTCTGAGGCAATTCATATATCATTTAGTTTTAATAATATTATTTATATTTAAATTTTTTATTGCTTGATACTTTATATGTTTTCTTATTTATGTAAGATTCGAACATGAAATTAGAAAAGTAGGATTAATGGAAAATATTAATTTGTAATTTTATTTTGATGTATTTTTATTTATTTGATTGTTATTATATTTGGATATAATTATATTTGAATATTGTTGTGACATGTTTACAAATATTGCTATTATTTTTTCTAAATATTAGTATTATTAATTAATTTTGATAATGATTTTAAATTTTAAAATGAATATATTAATCAGAAGAATATGACAAATCTATGGATTCTCTATCCCCTGCCTACTCAAAATGAGGAATGAAATAGAGATGGGTGAGAGGAGATGATAGAAGGAGGGGAAGAATTTGAATCCTGTCTTATTAAAGATATTCTTTGAGTGATTTTTTGAAAAAAAAAAATTCACTTTTTCTATAAAGTGTTTATAGGTTTTGCTTTTTTTGTTCCTTAGTTTCTATAATACCCATAATTCCCCTCGACATCACTTAGTTGCCCTCTGCTATCACCTCTACTACCTGTTATACTGAGCCCTCCTCATGCATCACCATTTCTTCCGATGTCGATTTATTGTTTTATCATAGGGTAACACCTTTGACAGTTATGACGGATATGGTAAAGAGGTGCTTGGCAACGATCGTGAGAGAGAAGTCTTTCATGTCGAAGGTGGTGATGACATGAGAGGGTTTGAAATAATAATAATAATAATCGTAATAATAATTAAACAAAACGACGTTGGATGACAAGTAATATTGTGAAGCACTTGTCCAGAAGGATAGATTTTGGTCCTTTATTTACACGATCATGGCTACAGAAACAATTTAACAGATAAGCTGATAAAAGGAGTTGTCAAAATTGGAAAGAAAAAACAAAAGAACAATTATAAAGGACTCTTAATCTTACTTCTAAGGGAACCCAAATCATGATCCAATTTTGAGGGTGGTATTACCACCCAGTTTCCACTTCAACATGTATAACCAAAAAATCCAATCTTAAACTCCGAATGATTGATCATGGAAATCCACGCAGCATGACGAAAGGAGCAGATTCCATGATCTACTAAAGAATCACTTTCTCTGGCATATGAGCCAAGCATATATATGCTAATGAGAATACCATGAATCTTGATCTTGAAGAGCTCCAGATCACAAGAAGCTGAAATGTCCCAAATATTTGCAGTGTGGCGAATATAAATCGTTTTCCTCGATTGAGCTCGGCGTTGGGCGATATCCCCACTCAAATCAAGAGCATTCAAATATGTGAGGAAAACATTGCTGTCCTTCTTGCTGGTTCTGCAGCAAATTTTTTTGCTTGATGATGTTGAGCGTGATGAGTCTCGCAGCACTGCAGCAGCTATTCCGTGAAAACTTTGTTGCTGAGATATGATCGCGAGAAGCATCAAACAGAGGCTGCCGCTTCTGCCTCCACTGAGCTCTTTCCAGGGAATTTTGCAGCTTTCCTCTGGTTCAGCAGTTTCCTCACCATGGCCATGTCGTCCCATCTCCTTGCAGCTCCATACATGTTCGCCAACAACACATACCGCCCACCATGATGCGGTTCCAACTCGATCAACTGCTTCCCCACTTTCTCGCCGAGCTCCACATCGCCATGGATCCTACATGCACCGGCAAGAGCTCCCCATAGTCCCGGATGAGGCTCCACCGGCATTCTTTCCACGAAATCAACCGCTTCTTTGATCAGTCCCGCCCTGCCAAGCAAGTCAACCATGCAACCGTAGTGCTCCTCGAGAGGCCTAATCCCATAAACCCGAGTCATCATGTCGAAGAACTGCTGGCCTTCGTTGATCAACCCCGAGTGGCTACAGGCGCTCAACAATCCGATGAAGGTTATCGCATTTGGCTCCAAACCCATCAGCTGCATCTTCCAGAAGAGTGTTAGCGCTTGCCTCTCCGACCCATTCATGGCCAACCCGGTGATCATGGAGTTACACGAATACACATTCTTCTCGGGCATATCCTTGAACACTTTGAGGGCCTTGCTGATGCTCCCACACTTGCCATACATGTCCACGAGAACCGTTCCTAGGATGACGCTCATCTCCACTGTATGCTCTGTAACGTACCTGTGCACCCACTCCCCTTGATTCAAATCCCTCAGCTGCGCACAAGCTGATGCCGCGCTCACCAAGGTCGACTCGTTCGGGGTGACTTCCCTTTTGACCATTACTCTGAACACGGCCAACGCCTCCGCGCAACGACCCGATTGCGCGAAGCCGGAAATAATCGAGCTCCAGGAGGCCACATTTCTGTGGGGCATTTTGTTGAACAGATGCAATGCTGCTTTGACCTTCCCATCCTTCGCGTACCCCGCAATCATCGCATTCCAGGAGATGGGATTTCTTTCTGGCATCCGCTCGAAGAACCACCGCGCGCAGTCCAGCCGCCCGTAATTCGAGTATCCTGTGACCAATGCTGTCCACGAGATGACATCAACCACGTCGGCATGCTCGTCGAACAGCTGCTGGGCGGAGCTCATGTCGCCCCAATCCGAGTACATGGTTATGGCATTGTTCACGACGAAGACGTCGGAATCGAGCCCAAATTTCACAGCGTGGCAGTGGACTCCGCGGCCGAGGCCTGCGAAGCCGAGCACGGAACACGAGCGGATAAGGAAAGGGAAGGTGAGCCGGTCGGGCGACAACCCGGAGCGAAGCATGCGGAGGTAGAGGAGGACGGGCTCGACGGGGCGGGGGCTCCGGGAGAGGGCGCGGATCATGGTGTTGTACATGAACGGGGTGGGCCGGTGGAGGCTGGCGAAGAGGGAGCGCGCGTGGCGGAGATTGCCGGAGGTGGGGACGGCGCAGGCGGCGAGGAGCCGGGCGACGGTGAAGGGGTCGGAGGAGAGGCCGGAGGTGACGACGAGGGCGTGGACGCGCCTGAGCTCGGAGGCGGAGGAGAAGGCGGCGAGGCAGCGGGAGAGGTCGGGACAGTGGAGGAGCTCTAGCTTTCTCGCCGAGGATCCGACGGCGGCCATTCCTCTGTGTGCAATTGTGCATCACAAAGAATTCAGCACAAAGGATGGCGAAAATTGATCCATTTTCAACAGAATAAAAAAAATATTTTGGATCGGTCAACAACATGGAATAATGAAAAGAGAATAAAGTTCTGCATGCATCTAATTGTATATAGATCAACATTGATGATTCAGATCATTAAATGAAACAGTGGAGACCAAAAAGATTACTGTGTATGCATGCAATCTATAATCAATATATACACACCATATATATCAACTCTATTTTTTATAACAAATTAATAAAATTAGAAATACTTTAGTTCGTTAGAATGAGAGTTTTAATTCATATAGAGTGTTAAAAGATAAAAGAGAAAAAAAAAATTATTGATTCGATAACCGATTTAAATCAACTAAGAAATAAAGAAATATTAAAAATATACGATGATCGTATCAAGAGATTGAAAACTAAGAACTTACCGGTTTACTGGGTAAGATCTCGTTGCGCTCGACAACAAAGATTTATAGTCGATGGGACACGATATATGCGAGAAAAATCATGTCATTTAGATTAAAGATAGATCGAGGAGGGCTTTATTACTATAAAACCATCTCATTTAAATTAAAGAGTGTGAAAATCATATATCAAAAAATGATTAATAAAATATTCAAAGATTATATCATATAAAATATTCGAGTTTAAGGAAACTTTTGCTACCATCGAAAGGTTTCAAATGGACATGAACACCTACAAATGCACATTCAATGTCGGCTGGGAAGACTAAAATAAGGGGTTAATATTTATGTCTCTCTAATATTATCAGAAATAAACTCTATGCTGAT